CCGAGGAACGCTGGCTCCGATCCCGCGCCGCGGCCGAGCCATTGTTTTTAATACCAATCTCTAGGAATCGAGGTGCCCTGGGATTTGCGGCAAAGCGGAGCGTTGGTTTCTAACTAGAGGGCAGGAAGAATTGTCCGCTCGCGAGCGGGAGTCGTCCGGTGTCCGCGCATAATTCATTTTTAAGAGTCAATTCTTGGTGTCCTGGTTCGTCCTGTAAAGTGTGTGTGTTGGGGGCTGGGGGGACACGGACCCCGCTGCCGGCAGCTGGAGCCCACACCTCTTCGGCCGGCCAGCCCTCGCCCTTCCTGGGCTCTAAGACCCTTGGAATGCGGTCTCCTGAGTTCTGGTCGCGGAGTGCGGTGGTGGACGGTTGGTGGATGCTGTGCGCACTACCCCGCCGATGCCGCTCCTTACCAGAGCTGGTCTGCGGGACTCCCGCATATCCCCAAGCAGTGTTCGTTTATTTTGTGCCATGAAGCGTTTTAAGTGAGGTGTAATAGGGCAATTAATTTTAACTTTAATGAAGTTACATGGCCGCATCATAAATTTCTAACTCTTGTTGATGCCGCTTTCGATAATTAACAAAAAACGACAATCATTCTTCAGCGAAATTTAGGACTCGCTCTATTCTCAATTGCTTGTGTAAATCCCTCCACCCCGTATTCAAATCCAAGATGGTGTGGTGAATGTTAACAATAAGTCTGGAATCTTGCTTGCAGTAAGACTACTAAAAAACTTAAGGTAGTTAACAGAAAAAACTGCCTGAATTTTACCATTAAATTATCTTTCTCGACGCCATGCTTATCTGTTTGCAGTTGAGAAGACCGGTTGAATTGCTAGGAGCTTTCCCTAAAAATTAAACATGTAGACTGGTCAACATATTTGCACGTTCCAGATAAATATATACAAAACAGTTTAAATATAAAATACATCTACCCCATCTAGTGCTGGTTTTTTATTCTTTTAAATGAAGTATTTCGTGTAATGTCTCTGTGTGTAACTTATTTTGGCTTTTTTAAGCTTTATATTCTCTTTCATAATACTACATTTAACGCACCTTATTGTGTGTATGTTTATGTTGAAATTTTTTAAAAGTGAGAGAAGAGATGCCGACACATCCGACTTTTATTAGGAAAAGTGCATTTTTGGTATTGGTATAGTATTTTACCTGTTGGGCTTTAATCTGTAAGGTGAAACAGAAGCAAGCAAACTCTCCGTGAACCACTTGATGTCAACAATCGTCTTTTGATCATACATGTTCATGTAACACAGGTGGACAATAGTTAAATGGCAAGAGTTATTATTTTTTTTCCCCTAGAGTTTCTACCCCAGACGATCACTTGCTTTCTTTCCCTAGCCCCTATACTCTCTTCTCCAAACTTAAGTGGAACTGGGTGGGGTGGGGAGATTTATATCTAGTGGGAAGATCTTTCTACAGGAATTTCCTGCTATTTTCACTAGCATGCCATACTGCTGATGACTAATCCCTTGTTCTACATCTGCCCCCCAAAGTTTCTCTATGAACTATGGCACCTCTGCCTAACTTTGTTGAATCAAAGTATTGCTTGCAATCTTGGTCCTGTTGGTTCTGTTTGTCTTAACAGATGCAGTTTATGTTGCTTTTTAGTCGGCAAGGAAAGCTGCGACTACAGAAATGGTATGTCCCATTGTCAGACAAAGAGAAGAAGAAGATCACAAGAGAACTTGTTCAAACTGTTTTGGCCCGGAAACCGAAAATGTGCAGCTTTCTTGAGTGGCGAGATTTGAAGATTGTTTACAAAAGGTATAATTTTTATTTCTCAGGAAGGTAAAATAGCAAAATAAAATCTTATATCATTTACAATGTAAAAATGCAGACTTTCAAGAGGTGCACTTCTAAATAATGACTAACGAAGATTTAGCTGAATGGGGCTTAAGCTTTGCATTTTTAAAATAACTGCTATTTTGATCGATTACCCAGACTAAGGTCATAAAAGTCAAGGAAATCTTTTTAATATTAACTATACAGTCAAAGACATAAATGATTAATGCTTAATCATCTTTTAAGGAAAATTTGATAGATTTGTTTGTTTGCAGGGGAAATAAGACCAGTATCTCAAATCGTGCAGTTGCCTGCACTCAGCCCAGCAGTTCTCGGCTAATCTGTAATGACTGATATTGGATATGCCTTTCCTCTCACTATTAGACTCTCTGTCACTCCTGAACACCTTGGACACATAGACCATTTCAGTCATGCGGGTGTTTAAAAACCGTATAGACAGGATTTGTTCCTTAGTGCTGTGTTTGTTAATTTGAAGTACACTTGTTGCTGTAGTGGAGGTGTGATTAGTTAGATCTGAGAGAGAATTTTGCCAAGAACAGAAAATAAATTTCTCAAGATTGTTCTAATCAGGTAAAACAAAATAGCTACATTTTCCTTGCCTATCTATGTTCCCTTACAAATCAGCTACTGAATTTAAGAGCATTTCTGCATGTGAAAAAAATCGTTTTCTGGGGGTATGCAGGGAACTGTGTGGGCTGTAAGATTGGTTAAAGAGAAATCCTTTATTCTACCCCAAGTATGGATGGAGTTTTTTGTGGGGGAGGTAGAAGAGGAAGTAATAGAGAGTAATACTATAGACTCCTTTCTGCACTAAGAACAATGTGATCATCTTTGGATGATTCTTGTATCCAGTGCTTGATTTAGTACCTGTTGAGAAAAATCACACCATTTTAGCAGCTGCACAGTATCTTAGAGTAATCTAGTCAGGTGATTTAAAGAAACAAAACTTTTTGCTCCAAGGATAGAATCTTAAATGAAATGAGTGGAATAGGAGAAACTTTTGGGAAATCAGAAATGGAATCCTGGATCCCTGCTTGCTTGGCCCCTAGTCCCTGCATAGGAGGTGGTTCCTGAATTTGTAAACCACTACTGTTGATCCAACCTCAACCTTTCATGACAGATGAGAATTTGGGAGAAGTGACTTGTCTAAGATCATCTGCTAGATAGGGGCTGACATCCAGACATGAAGTCAGAGATTTCTCAAACTGATTAAAAGAAAGAAAGAAAGAAAGAAAGAAAGAAAGAAAAGGAACAGGTTTATGTTTCCTTAAAGATCTTTGTCTTTGGAGAATGGATGGGGGAGGGCTGGGACCTACCTCTGAAGGACCTGAAGGAGGCTGAGAGGTCCTGAACACTGCTGTGGACTCAGCAAGTGGAAGAACAGTCTTTACATAAACGGAGTTTTAGAAGACTTGATTACTGCTGAAAGTGAGGTGAGCAGTGAGAAAAGGGAAAGAATGGGGTGATTTCACATTTCTAGTTCAGCTGATGGAGTAAACTGGTAACCCAGTTGGAAGGTTAACTTGAGGTGCTTATGGCTCTCCATTTGGGGATCCCTAGTTTTCTCAGGGTGGCCTTAGACATGGAAGTTGGGGGAAACTGGGCAAGTGTTATGTTTGTTGTTAGATCACCAACATTGGAGCAGCAGGCAAGGGGGAATGAAGTAACTATAGTATAGTCACAGGAATGTTGGGGAAGGGGCATTTCAGGAATAAGATCACTGCTGCCAAGGGTCACATAAAATTCAGTTAAACTGAAAAAAGAATTGATTACATTAAAATCTAATCTATTAAGACTATTACTAGATTTAATCTACTAGATTGAAATCTGCAAATAGTGAGCATTTCTTAAAATGCCCGTTGAAAATTTTTCATGAGATAGTAAAGACAGAACTTGCAAAGAAATAGGATGAAGTGTGAAGAAGTGGAGACATTTGAACAGCAATTGTAGACTGTTTGGAGGAGCTTTGCTGTGAAGGACCAATGAAGAGGTAACCGCCCAGCCCAGAGATATAGGAAGTCAGGAGCTCAGTTAAAAAAAGGATGTGAGACTGAAGCTTATTTCTAGATATGGAAAGGTGTCCCCCGTGTGGAGGAGGAAAATACCAGCAAGGGAATCAGTCCTTATTCCTGCAGCTTAAGGAAATGGCCTGTTAAACGGAAGGAAATAGCACTGGTCAGTGATCCTGCTCCCCTCCCATATTCATCCAGGCCCCCCCCCCCCCCCCC